CATTCCTCAGGTCTTGCATTTAGATGCCACTCCCTCTCGGAAACATTTCTTGACCTCACAAATCTGGGTTAAGTGACCTTCCTCCCTGCTCCCCAGACGCAATGCACTACCCCTGTCATAGAATCATCACGTGGAGCTCAATGGTTTGTAACCACTCCTTGGTGACTGCAGCTCTGGGGGCAGTGCACGTGGCTGTCTTGTGAGGACGTGTGTGAGCCTCTGGACAGACACAGGGCTCCTTTTCCTCTTCCAACTGTGGTTATAGGTTAGAATGAAAAAGGCAGCTCTGAAGATGAGACTTAGAGCCAGCAAGGCCTGGCCAGCACCTGCAAGCTAGGCTGCTGCAGAGTTGAATGCTAGCAAAATTGCTTTTTGGACATTTTGCCCCCTGTGGCTCTGCGTCTGCAGTTGCAGCAAGAGTGGCCACATATGCCTGTTTGACTCAGAGTGTGGCATTGTAGTGCAGGTTTTGGTCTGAACACAGGATACCCTGATCCATTTCAGCTTCTCTCTGTTAGCCCAGTCTGCTGCAGGTTGGGTTGCTAAAGAACAGTGAGCTGTCAGAAAGGTAGAGAATAGAAAAGCAAGGGTAATGTGTAATCCATAGGTTAGTGAGTAAGACTTTGAACATCCCAAGCCACCAACTCCTGAGTAAAACTAAATTAAGACATAAAGAACAGTGAGCTGTCAGAAAGGTAGAGAATAGAAAAGCAAGGGTAATGTGTAATCCATTGGTTAGTGAGTAAGACTTTGAACATCCCAAGCCACCAACTCCTGAGTAAAACTAAATTAAGACGCTTTGGAATGTCTGAAGTGGGGAATGTCTGAAGTGCCATAGATACTGTGCTATAATCCCACTCTCTTTGAAAGGTGACATCTTGACATTTTTGATACAATAAAGAAATACAGGTTAAACTTGCATTATTTTGGTAGGTGGGATATAAAACATTTTTGTATTACCTATATCCAGGCAAATGTACTGTCTCCTAGGTAGAAGATCCGTATTTGTATAATATCCTTTAGCAACTATACCAAATAATCCCTGGAACAGTCAGGTCTTTATGTGCAAACATATCCAGGGTCCCAGTTCTGCAATTTTCTTCATCAATCCTATTATAATAATGCTTTATATTTGTAGAATTTTATAATTAATCAAGTGTGTGCAAGATCTTAGTTTGATCTTCCACCAACTCGGAAATCATGCAGGTGGTAAATGAAGGAGCCAGAACCTGAACTAAGGTCTCACAATACCTAGGCCCAGGTTCTTTCTATCATGTCACATGGCTTTGTGTTAAAGATTGTATATATGTGAGTGAGTTTCATGTATGTGGGGGACAGTTAATCAAAGCTCTGGACCAGTTGAGAAATAGAGTCAGATAGGGCTATTCATATCAGTTTTACTGTAGGTAAAGCTGGGTTGAAAAACGTGGCCTGGACACATGGCTTCCATGGGTTTTCTGCTGTTGCACCCCTGAGCTGACTTCACCCACCCAGGTCCAGCAGCAGGAAGCAGAGGCTCCCACTGCACAGAGACAGAGCCACTGTCTTGCATTGAGGAGTGCAGGAGAGGAGAGGACAGCTCAGGTGGCAGCTGTAGAGAGACAGTGAAGGGGATTCTAAGCCACACACGAATAATCACCCCTTGTCTCTTGGGACTAGAGGGTACGATGAACAGAGTGTGGCAAAACTCTGCCCTCAATGCTTCTAAGAGGGCAGGAGTTCCCTTTCTGTGGGCTTTATAGGAGAGGGCTAGGTGGAGTTAATTCACTTGGGAGTGGGAGAGCTATAAACTCCTTAAAAGTACAGGGATCCACTACGTCCAACACATCCTATCCCCAGCATATATAGCATAAGGCTGAGCATGTAGTGGTCCCTAACAGATACCAATTGACCAAACTGCAGCCTTAACTATAATGGAGGTAGCAAAGCATAGGTGATATTAGGGATAGGAAGACCCAATGTGTGAATGAGTGGTGATTAAAAACGGTTGCACATTATCTTTTTTACCTATCTGAAGACACACAGGCTGGCAACCAAGCCGTCCCAGTCATAAAACCATGCTCTGGCTGTTGTAGGGAACAGTCTGACCCAGTGACTCTTCTTCCAGAGGGAGGATAGCCATCGACTCCCCGCTTTTCCTGCCCTTCCCTGCTCAGAGCTCACTTCTCGTATATTCTCTTTGAACATATTCAGACACAACCTCTTTAAACCTCCTTCCTCCTTTTCTGTCTCCCCCCCCATCTCTTTGTTCAGCTACTGAAGGAGATTTTTTTTTTCCTTTTCTATTCTACTCCCTGCTCCATCTCCCAAACACTGTCCTTCCTTTCTCAAATTTCTGTTTCTTAACTTGGTAGATAAATAGAAGAATAGTGCTGATAGTATTTTTCTTGCATCAAGAGTTATGTTATCCTTAATAAAGAATGAGTTTCTAGGGCCGGCCCGTGGCTCACTCGGTAGAGTGCGGTGCTGATAACACCTAGGCCATGGGTTCGGATCCTATATAGGGATGGCCAGTTAGCTCAGTTCGGAGAGCGTGGTGCTGACAACACCAAGTCAAGGGTTAAGATCCCCTTACCGGTCATCTTTAAAAAAAAAAAACAAAAAAACCAGAATGAGTTTCTAAAAGTCTTGCAAGTGCCCAGAAGACCCATTTAGAAAGCAAATATATATTTTTATATCTTTTAATTAAGCTTTTGCTGAAACATCAGCTTTAAGAATAAATGTGCTTTTTCTTCAGTTATATTTGTGTTTTATTTAACAGTATATGTATAATACTAATATATACTACCAGCTTTTTTACATTTATTTTTTAATTTATCAACATGCAGTATAGTTGATTTTTGTGGCCCTTTACCAATTCTTCCCTTTCTCCCCTCCCTCTCTCCCCTTCCCCCCATCAACATCATATTTGTTCACTTATAACAAGTTCAAGGAATTATTGTGATTGTTGTGTCTTTTTTTCCCTCCATTTATTTGTTTGTATATTTATTTGGTTATCTTTATTAGCTCCCACATATAAATGAGCACATGTGGTATTTCTCTTTCTGTGCCTGGCTTATTTCACTTAACATAATTTTCTCTAAGTTCATCCATGTTGCTGTGAATGGTAGTATTTCATTCTTTTTTACAGCAAAGTAGTAGTCCATTCTGTAGATATACCACATTTTCCTTATCCACTCATCCAATGATAGGCATTTAGGCTGGTTCCAACTCTTGGCTATTGTAAATAGCACTGCAATAAACATGGGAGTACAGTTATCCCTTTGACATAATGATTTCCATTCCTTTGGGTGTATGCCCAGCAGTGGGATAGCTGAGTCATATGGCAGATCTATCTGAAATTGTTTGAGGAACCTCCATACCATTTTCCATAATGTCTGCATCATTTTGCAGTCCCACCAACAGTGTAGGAGGGTTTCCTTTTCTACACATCCTCGTCAGTATTTATTATTCTCAGTCTTTTGGATATTAGCCAGCCTAACTAGAGTGAGATGATATCTCAAAGTGGTCTTGATTTGCATTTCCCAAAAACTGAGTGATGGTGAGCATTTTTTCATGTGTCTATTGGCCATTTGTGTATCTTCCTTTGAGAAATGCCTATTCAGCTCCTTTGCCCATTTTTTAATCAGGTTACTTGGGGTTTTTTTGCTGTTAAACTGCTTGAATTCCCTGTTTATTTCAGATATTAATCCTTTGTCAGATGCATATTTTGCAAATTTTTTCTCCCATTTTGTCTTTTCACTCTGTTAATTGTTTCTTTTGCTGTGCAGAAGCTTTTTAATTTGATATAATCCCATTCATTTATTTTTCCTTTGGTTGCCTGTGCTTTTGGGGTCCTATTTGTAAGGTCTGTGCCCAATGCTACTTCCTGAAGTGTTTCCCTTATGTTTTCTTTTAGGAGTTTTATTGTTTCAGGATGTATATTTAATTCTTTAATCCATTTTGAGTTGATTTTGTTATATGGTGAGAGATACAGGTCTAGTTTCATTCTTCTACATATGGATGTCCAATTTTCCCAGCACTGTTTATTGAAGAGGCAGTCACTTCCCCAGTGTGTGTTCTTGGTGCTTTTGTCAAAGATCAGATGGCTGTAAGTGCGTGGGTTGATTTCTGGATTCTTTATTCTGTTCCATTGGTCTTTGGGTCTGTTTTTATGCCAGTAACATGCTGTTTTGGTTACTAAAGCTTTGTAGTATAGTTTAACGTCAGGCAGTGTTATGCCTCTGGCTTTATTTTTTTTTGCTCAGGATTGCTTTGGCTATTCGGGGTCCTTTGTTATTCCATACGAATGTTAGAATTGTTTTTTCCATTTCTGAGAAGAATGTCATTGGTATTTTGATGGGCATTGTGTTGGATCTGTTGATCAGTTTGGGTAGTGTGGACATTTTCACAATGTTAATTCTTCCAATCCAAGAGCATGAGGTATCTTTCCATCTTCTTGTATCCTCTTTATTTTCTCTCAACAGTGATTTGTAGCTCTCATCATAGAGATTTTTTCACATCCTTGGTTAACTTTATTCCTAGGTATTTTATTTTTTTGGTGACTGTTGTAAATGGGATAGCTTTCTTGATTTCTTTTTCTGCTAGTTCATTGTTGGAGTATAAACATGCTACTGATTTTTGCATGTTGATTTTGTATCCTGCAATATTGCTGAAATTATATATCAACTCTAAGATTTTTTTTGTAGAGTCTTTAGGCTGTTCTATATATAATACTACCAGTTACAAACAGTTTCAACAATGCATGTCATGAACAAGCCATTATGAGCCAAATTATTAACCCAACTGTAATTTGTCATTTTGTGGGAAAACGTATACTGTTTCAAGTTATGTAATGGCCCATTGGACACAAGCAACATGTGTGTTCTGGAGTCTTCTTAGTCTAATGTGCACAGAGTGATTTATATCCTTTTTGACAAGTTCCGTACCAAACTGGAAGTAGAGGGGATTTCTTATCTTCATACCTATGACTTTTGAACTTTGATGTGTTTATCCCATAGGAAAAGCTTTTGACATCACCTATGTGCGCCTCAAGTTCCACACCAGCCGCCCGGAGAGCTTCGCCATTTACAAGCGCACGCGGGAAGATGGGCCCTGGATTCCTTACCAGTACTACAGTGGCTCCTGCGAGAACACCTACTTGAAGCCAAACCGTGGCTTCATCAGGACAGGGGGGGACGAGCAGCAGGCCTTGTGCACCGATGAATTCAGTGACATTTCTCCTCTTACTGGGGGCAATGTGGCCTTTTCAACCCTGGAAGGAAGGCCCAGCGCCTACAACTTTGACAACAGCCCTGTGCTTCAGGTAGGCACTCACGGATTGGCTTGGGAGCCAGTTAGTTCTACCATGTACTAGTTGTGGGAAGATTATCATAGTGGACCACGGGCCCCACTTCTAAGCTGCGGGGTACTAGTAGAATCTATTCCAGTAAGACAGACAGCTGGATTTTGTTCTGCTCTCCTGCGCACTATTAATAAGTGAAGGAGAATAGTTTTATTTCTACTGCCTGGGTGATATTTGTTCTTATGCACTTGCAAATGCATCCTAGGATGTAAACTTTAGAAGTTTTTTTAAAAGTTGGACAATTTTAACTTCAGTTTCTGTACTTTAGGTGGAAGCATTTTGCTTCTAATCTTTTGAAGAGGGTAATTGACCTAATCTACCCAGTTTTCTTGCATCCTCTCTTACCTCTTCTTTCATATGACAAAATAAAATGTATTTTTTAAAATTAGCTGGGGGAACAGTTGAAGCAAGATATTTAATAATGTCGCCTTCCTTTATTATTACACACAAAAAATTTTGATTGGGTCTGTCAAGGCACTGTTGCCGATCATTATGAAAATTCCTCATCACCTAAAAGGACAGGTGTTAGTAACAGGATATTAATCTAGGTACCCTTGGTATTGGGCTTAAGCATCATGATAGAAACCTATCCTTGTGGTTAACAATAGAAAAAATAAAAGATTTCTTTTTTCTCATGAATTCTATATGCATATTCCTTATGCACCATAATATGGAATCATTCTGTATTGCTTAGGTTCCTGTGAACGTCACATATGTTCTGGCTGTGTGACTATAGAAATATTAGCAAGCCCCATGCTATTCTTGGCACATTAACACAGAATTGGAGACACTGCTATCATGTGGCTGAAGTTAACATCTGAATGGGGGCAGCTTATATTAATCGACTGAGACAAGAAAGACTCGATATGGGTTTGCAAATGCTGTGTACATTTTATGAAAAGCTGTTGTGATTTTTAAATAGGAAACCCCCCCGTTCTTCTGGGCTCTCTACTTTTACATCTTCTCATTCTTTCTTTCCGGAATTTATTAGTATGTTGAAGGACTCTTTTTTCTAATTCAGTTGTATGCTTTTGGACAGTGGGAAAAGATAAGAATATATTTCTCTGTGGGTCCAGTTGCCCCTTTACATTGTATTTCTGTAGCTTGCTGGGAGTTCATGTGAAAAGTACTTGGTAAACTCTGAGGTTATGGTGAGCAATGAGTATGTTTGCAGAGGTCTTTTAGAAAAGTGGTTTTTGCAATGGAGAGAAGACATGTTCAAAATAAATGACAGAAAGAATAGCTGATTTTGACAGATGATAAAGCAGAAGACTGAATGCCTAGGGCAGAGTGATCTCCAAATACACTTGAAGTTGATCAGCTAGCAAACATTCGCCATCCTTGTTTCTTTCTACAGCCAATTATAGTATTTTTCTGTCCTGGAGAGGGAACAGTGTTGTCAGTAGGAAAAAGTGTTGACAAAGTTGTGATTGGTTTTCTGGCACTCTTGCTAACTGTATGCCTTTTTAGCCTATCTTGAGCAGTTTTTCCAGCTTTAGGAATTCTGATTTTTGCCACTCTTTATGCCATAGAAACTAGTGAGACTAAATGTGGTAAAAATGCTATGGACATCTGCATAGATTTAATCATTTGGTTTCATTATGCAGTAATATTAATTATGTGTCTCTGGATGTGAAAGCTCTGGCTCTGACATCCACTTGCCAAGGAGTTTGAGCTGATTTGACTTTTAGCTGATCTGATAATGCAGAGAGGCAGGTGCCCTTTTCTCACTCCCTGTTCCTCCTTCCATAGGCTGCAATCTCCCAGATGGGGGAGGAGACCATCGTGGTTTCACTGTGTAGAAGTATTACTAAGCATGTATTGATTTATAATAATAGCGATTAGTGTTTATTATAGCACTTACTATAGTGTGCTATAATGTGACAAGCTCTGTTCTAAACCCTTAGATATATTAACTCATGTAACCCTCACAATAATTCTGTAAGGTAAATACTTTCATTATCTCCATTTTACAGATGAGGAATCAGAGGCTTAGAAAGGATGTAACTTGCCCCAAATCACACAGTTTTAAGTGGCAGAACTGGGATTCAAGACCTATAAAGTCTAGTTTCAAGTCTGTTCTTTTTAAGATGGCCTTTATAGGAAAAAAAGTGGCTTGACTTCAGCCTTTGAGAATCTTTTATTCAAGGAGAGCTGTGATAAAGAGGAAGCCTTTAGAAGATATAATAAGCATTAAACACATAGGTATGTTTAGCTGTTTACATTACAGACAACTAAAAGGTTCCTACCATTGTGGTCACGAGTGAGCGTTGTTATTGGAGTTCCAAGTTTGGATACGGTGAAATCATCATCTCTTCTTTCTAATTATATTTGGAGGCTTCGCGGAGATTAGCTTTTATGAACCCTCCTTGTTGTTCTCTGTGCAGGTGTTTGGCATGGTTTAAGGCAGTGCTTCTTAATCAGGGGTGTGCCTCCCAGTCTCACATGGAGCCTTCTGAAAACAGAGACGCCGGCACCTCTGCTCTTGCTTGTTCTGTCTCCAGAGGTGGTTCTGATGTGCGATCCCTAGGAAAGACTTAAAGGGAAATGCTATCTTCGGGCAGTTATATGTAACACACCACCCCAAAACTTAATGGCTGTAAAACCACAAGTTGTTATGTCTCATGATTTGATGTTAGCCTGGGCTCACTCACCTGGCTGGTCAGTTGGGAGCTGGGTCTCTTTCCCTGGGGTCTCCCATCCTCAAGAAGCTAGACCAGGCTTCTTCACGTGATGGTGGAAATTTTCCAGGAGAGGGAGTCCCTGTGCACAAGTACATGTCAAACCTCTCCTTGTGCGTCACATTTGCTGGTGTTTCCTCAGCCCAGAGTCAGCATGATAAGGGCCTGCCCAGGGTGTGGACTCTGGCAGACATGATTCATTGGGATCATTATTGTAATAGTCTACTGCAGATGTGAACATCTGGCTAAAATAAGCTCATTGAAGGGCATTTATATATAAGGGCTTAGCTCTCATAGAACCTAGGGGGAAGTGAATAGCCTTCATTGCTGTCTTCTGCCATTATTGTACATCTAGGAACTTGATCAGTTGTGGTTTCTTCAAATTCATTCACTCTCAGCAAATATTATTTGCACACCTACTGTATGCTAAATACTAGGGAAACCACCATGAAAAAAACAGACACATATTTCTTGCCCTCATGGTACATACAGTTGGGGGGTCGGGGGGGAGTATATAGAAACAGACAATATAAATAAAACAGGAAAGGGAAATAGGGTGTTAGGAAGGGGTAGCAGTTTTAGTTAGGGTAGCCAAGGAGTGCCTCACAGAGAAGGTTCTGGCCACACATCTGAGGTTCTGGCCAGTGTACTGATTTATTACTTTGTACTTGGGTGTCTCTCCCGGATCTGTTAGTAGTGGACTGGGTGTGGAGGGAGGGATAGATGGTACAAAATGGGCAGGGGGAGACTCTGACCAGCATGTCTAATACAAGAGTTGTGCTCCATGAGCTCTGGGCTGGTCACTCTGACTCGATGTGGGTTGTAGATATGGGATGTAGAGAAGGGACAGGGGTATTGAGTACTGAATATATGCTAGGCATTTAAATGGGTATTTAATTTAAGCCTCTCAACAGCATTGTGAAGAAACAGTAGTAGTATGGTTGCTTTCTGGGACTTGACTCGATGTGGGTTGTAGATATGGGATGTAGAGAAGGGACAGGGGTATTGAGTACTGAATGTATGCTAGGCATTTAAATGGGTATTTAATTTAAGCCTCTCAACAGCCTTGTGAAGAAACAGTAGTAGTATGGTTGCTTTCTGGGACGCTGAGTCATAAAGTAACACCTTCAGTCAAAGAACGGAAGAGGCAAGAAGTAGAAAAATACTAGGAAATTAAAGGAGTCATTGATTTAGTGCTAGGAGAGGATATAAGTTAAATGATGCACTCACTGTTTAGAGAATTTTGTTGCATTTGTCTCTCATCTTCAGTCCCTCTACTTCTGCTGTTTCTGTTTTTGTTTTTGTTTCCTGACAGGAATGGGTAACTGCCACTGACATCAGGGTAACTCTCAATCGCCTGAACACGTTTGGAGATGAAGTGTTTAACGACCCCAAAGTTCTCAAGTCCTATTATTATGCAATCTCTGATTTTGCCGTGGGTGGCAGGTAATTAATCTATGAAATAAGCCTCATTGAAAGCTATTGGAGCTTTGGTATAGAAGTGAATGTAGCAATTTGTTTATAGCTATATTAATGCTGTTAGACTTTTCCTTCACCAACAGCAGCATCAGCAGTACTTACTAAGTGATAATGCATATCTGGAAAGACAGGTAGTAACCTTAAATATTTTTCTTGTCAGATCTTCTCATTATTATAAACTAAGCAATTAGGTTTTCCATAACCTTGTCAAATCAACACACTTTAGTGAATTCTTATTGACCATTTAAGTGCAAAGCTCTATGGCAGGCACTGTGAAGCTACTGAAGAAGGGTAAGACTGACCTACTGAGAACATCCTGACCTTCTAGGATCCTACAAATGAGTGGGGCAGGCAGTGCATGAATATGTGAAAATTGAAATACTAGTGCAGTCACATGTTTTAAATAAAAAGGTAGGGAAGGTGCCGTATATCAAGAATGATACAGAACTGTCAAGCTAGAGAAGCAGATGGGATCTGAACTGGGTCTTGAAGAATAGATAGGATTTGGATAAGGAGGGAGGACGTCTGGCTTGAGTGTAGGTGGATGGGCGTGTCATGTTAGAGATGGTAGAGTGTAAACCTACTTGACTTAAGGAAAATCTGTTACATGAATTTGTAGAGTTGTAAACCAGAAAGGTGGTTTGGTGGCAGAGACCTTAGACAGCAGGCTAAGAATCTTGGATTTATATCCCAAGTATTAGACTATGAGATCTCAAGAGCAGAAAATTATTTTTGTATGCATGTTCCTGGTACAGGATGGATGCTCAGTGAAAGTTGTTGGGACTGGGGACCAGTGAGAAATCAGGCAAATTTTTTTTGAGTAGGGCTGTGATATCAAAACAGTTAGGGGCAGGCCAATTAGCTCACTTGGGAGAGTGTGGTGCTGATAACACCAAGGTCAAGGGTTCAGATCCCTGGACTGGCCAGCTGCCAAAAACAACAACAGCAAAACAGTGGAGTAGGAAGACCAATGTTCAGGCAGGGTCAAAGTAGAGTACGGTGGAGAGAACTTATATTCCTGTTATGAGGTGTCGTACAACACATTACCTGACCTTAGGCTGGTAATACTAGTATGGAAAGGAATATATAGATGCATATTATTGTGAAGGAAGAATTATCAGGACTTTAGTCAAAGATGATTTTACGGTTTAGTGATCAGGAGAATGGTATTTTAACAAAATAAATGAAGAAGATGAGCTAATTTGGGGGAGATGATGAGTTTAGTCGTAAACGTGTAAAATTTGAGGTCATGGGGGACACCTAAGTTTGTGCCGCAGGCTAGGACAGGAGCTTGGGAGAAAGATGAGAACTGGAGACCTGAATTTGGAACTCATCCTGGTATGCTGTAGATGATCCCCAAGTGTTTAAGTGTATTATCAAATGGTCGTTGAAGCTATGGAACTGATTGCTATCTTTAAGGAAGCAAGTGAAGAGAATGTCACTGCTCCACAGCACGCATTAGTAGTATTCATGGGAATTTCCATGAATCCTTAGTTTTATGATCACACTTGCACCTAGGAGATCCTTCAGGGGTCTTTGTCCCAAACAACCTGTGGGAATATCAGTCTGATCAGACATTCATATGGTGGTGAGGTATCTAATACCATGTTCAGATTGAAATACTTTTAAATCATTATGGCAGACAGTTGCTGATATTTATTGACTTACGTACCTGTGCAGTCCTGAGCACATAAATAAAGCAACTCCTTGATCCTCCCAATAATTCTATGAAATAGACATTATTGTCATCCCTTTTTTCCAGGGAGGCACAGAGGTTGTTAAGTTACACTGGTAAGTGACAGGGAAGGATGTCAAGCCAGGCAGCCTGGCTTCAGAGCTCACAGTCTTTTCAACCACTATACGCTGCTGCCTCCTGACACACAAATTTGACTTCAGGAATAGACCCCACAGGTATCCTCAGAAATCGTTAGGGACTTTCTTCTATGTCTGGTTAATGCCCCAGACATAGCAATAAAGCTAGCAATTCTTTTTCTTATTTAATTTATCTTCATCCTTGAAAATTGAAATAGCCATTACTTAATCTTGCTCAGTTCCTCAGTTGAGACTTTTGAATGGCAAAACTCAAAAACATTCTAAGGTTGTTTTTAGTTCTCTGGTTCCTTAGTTTTTCGGCATCATTTCTGGGACTTTGCAGCACTTTCATTCTTTGGGGTGATTCTTCTCTCCCCAGGTGTAAATGTAACGGACACGCAAGTGAGTGTGTGAAGAATGAATTTGACAAGCTGGTGTGTAACTGCAAACATAACACGTATGGAGTAGACTGTGAGAAGTGTCTTCCTTTCTTCAACGATCGTCCGTGGAGGAGGGCAACTGCCGAGAGTGCCAGCGAGTGCCTGCGTGAGTGCCCCAGTTGTCTTGAGGACTCCAGAGGTGGGAGAAGGAATGGGTGACCTCTTTTCATTCCTCCTTGAAAGGAAAATTCTGCAAGGCAGCGCTTCTTTCATAATTTGAGAAAGTAGAATGGTAAACTGCATGCACGTCAGAGGAAAATCATAGATGAAGGCAACTGGCTGTAAAGACAAACTGTGCTGGTTTTGTGGGGTTTTTTTCATGGACACACAGGCCAGAGTGAAAGCAGCATCTTCATGATTTTGGAAATATGCTTAGATCCATACACAGGGCCAATGTAGCCTACTCTGAAATATGGCTTTTCTAGTTTTTTCTTTGTTGCCTTTTAAAATATTCTTTTTTTTTTTTTTTTTTGAGTTTTGAGCTTGATTTCAATCTCCCATAACAAAGTCTGGTAAAGAAAATGAATGAACGTTACATATTTGACAAGTTACACAATATATATAAGGATTGTTATACTTGAAAAGAATTATGTAAAGTTAATGTTTAAAATATTTACATTAATGGTGCTTTGTAGACTACTTAATAGTCTTTTTTTTTTTTTGATTCTTTAAAAAGATCAATAAAATTTGCAAACCTTTGTCTAGACTGACCAAGAAAAAGCAGAGAAGACAGAAATTACTCAAATCAGGCATACAGCTGGGGCATGGCAGAGCAGTTGCTTCTTCCATTGTACTGGAGTGGGCTTTGAGGAGAGAGAAGTCCTCTTCTTTTTTGGGTCTCCACAGGTGACTCTCCTTGTGTCACTGCAGTCAGGTGTCTCATGGGCTGCCTGCATGGCAGCTGCGGCTGCTGCTGTGGAGTTGAGCAGCTTTTGTGGCAGCCATGGCTATGGGCCATCTCTGAGGAAATGGTGTTTTCAGCATGCTCCTTGCTTGTTCACTGGCAGGGGATGCTCCCCTCAGCTCCTGCCTAAGGACCCAGGGTGTGCCCTGTTTCTTGCCTGTTTCTGGGTGCAGGGGTAGGCCACCTGTGAGGAAGTGGTGTTTGGTGTGTTCCTTGCCTGTTTCCCTGCAGGGGATGCTGCCCTCTGCTCCTGCCTAGGACTCTGGGCATGCTCTGTTTCTTGCCTCAAAATATTCTTTCTACCAGTATTTATTTACTCAAGCACCCAAGGTCATTGACTAATGTGTTAGGTATGAGGAGTTCTAGACTAAAACTTCCATTCAGAAGATCGTTTCTCAAAATTATCTTTTCCTCATTTCACTAAAACGTGCAATGGGGAGAATTTTCCCAATCTCCTCATGGAGAGGTGGGCGGCTTTGGGAGGAAGAGTAGATCCTAGTATCCCTAGAAAAGGGTAAAATGAAAAAGGTAATATGTTGTTTATCTCTTCATAATGTCCTGGTTTATTTTGAACAGATGCAGAAAGAAATCTCAGGAGAAAAGAACTATGTAATCATAATTTGCCAAGGACTTGAAAGTAACAAACTTTTAAAGCAGCTATAATTTTCTTATGTCCTTAGAAATAGTCTTTATCATATGCTCTTGAGAATAAAGGGAATAAGAGAGAAGACACCATCAACTTCCAAAAATTATTGGCAGAAACCTTGAGAAGGGACCAGTATCTTGACTCATAACTATTTCCATTGAGCTGCCTAGAGCTTATTTTCTAATTCATTTTTTCTTTTCCTTAACAAATCCCAGATTTGCAAATAAATTGACAGCCTCCGCTAGCATTCCTCAGCACTTGCTTGAGCTTCTTTAATTCCATTTCTGAATGTAATGTCCATTGTTAGAAGTGATAAAGACTGGTGAAAGAAAAAATGAAATACTCCTAGGATGTGCCATTTAAGTAAATGGACATGTGTTTGAAGAAAATTCTGCTTAGTGATATCATATTTTGAGTTTATTCATGAAATTATAAAAATAAAACAAACAAAAAGAAAAAACATGTCGCCAGCTTACCACTAACAAATGAACTGGATACTGTGGCTAAAGGACTGTGATGCAAAACTAAGTCGATTTGCTCTCCTCCTTGGTCTCTTCTGCATTGTGATGCTTCCAAGAGTGGCATTTCTGGATGCTGTAGTATTGCCAGGATGCTGGGGATAGGAAAGAGAAATTTATAGCTGTGTCTTCTCTTACCAGCTGTTAGTGAGGGAGCTACAGCACCTGCTTTCACTGTGGATTGGAACATTGTGGACACGGAAATTATTCTGCTTCATAGTCTCAGATCACCAGAACTTTTATGTGGGGTGAGGCATAATCTAGGGTAGCTTGAGGGAAGAGAAATTGCTAATGAAGAAGGCAAAGGGAGCTGTAAAACTAACAACAAAACTCTAATTTTTGGTGCCAGTGATTCAAGTTTCTAAAAAAAGTTTTCAATGTTAATACTATTAAAGAACTGATTGTAAGGAAAGGAGGGGGAAAAAAGAAAACAGGTATAGTCAAATAATTTTTAAAAACTGCTAATGATGTTCTGCTCTATCTGAAACCAAATGAAACTTTATTTTTATTCAGTGCTGAAGATACTATCTATACTTTGGGAGGAATGAATAATTCTGAGAAAGTCACCTAAGTATAAATATAGTAAAGAATTTTTGGACTATAGATACTTGTTCTTAAAATATGTTTGTGCTCTGCAGAAACGATGGTTATTTAATAGATAACCCAGTTTGAATTGTGGCTCCCCTGTAGATGGATGTATGTAGAGGATCTAGATTTCCCTTGAATTCTGCCTACATCTGCAGAGGCACTAATTTTAACCCATGTGTCTCAGGTTACTGTACTGTGGATAGGCAAGTAGTCTGGCACTTTGAAAGTTAGTGTCTTAATGTATTTGAGTCATCTGAGACCTATAAAGTTAAAGTAAATTGAAGCCTATATATAAATTGGCACCTTGTTCTTGAAGTTGGTTCTGAAATCAATAAAGATTCAGGAAAATTGTAATTTGACCTGGCTTTTACTTATATATGAACAACTACCTGGAGGAGATTTTTTTCTGAGTATAGGAATTCCTTGTATTTTCTGATGGTGCTATTTTTTAAATAAGAATGAACATTTCTTAGTAAACTGATAATCTGGCTATTTAAACCTTTTATTGACATACATTTTTTTTTTTTAAATGAACCGTGTATCTGGTGGTCGTTCTCACTCGCCTACCCCCTGTCTGTCGCAGAAATGTGGGAAATTATGGTTTGGTCTTCTTTGAGTTTTTTTAAGGGCTGTTCTTAAAGATACGTGGATCTGATGTAGTTTGTATGTTTTGGCCAATAGCCTGTGACTGCAATGGTCGATCGCAGGAATGCTACTTTGACCCTGAGCTATACCGTTCCACTGGCCATGGTGGCCACTGTACCAACTGCCGGGATAACACAGATGGCGCCAACTGTGAGAGGTGCCGAGAGAACTTCTTCCGCCTTGGAAACCACGAAGCCTGCTCTCCATGCCACTGTAGTCCTGTTGGTAAGTGACAGAAAGGATCGCTTCAGCCTGATGGATTGAAAGACAAAAGAAGAGTTCCCTGTACCCCCAGAGAATAAAACTTTGTCTGCTAGGTATTTGCACAGCTAAGCATGGAGATGTGTACATTACTGTAACACATAAATGATTTGGGAACTGACTCTACTCCCCCATCTCCTACTTCCACTCTCTTTAACCAAATTGAACTTTCAGATGATTTTCTGGTGTAAAGTATGGGGTGGCCTGAGTAATGGTTCTGTAAATAATTAGCAACAGGATCATAGAGACCACTTGAACTTTGACTGTAAAAGGTTAACTGCTTTGTGAGTTCTTCCTTCTTAATGATTTTGTTTAGTCTAATCTCCATAGAGGGCTGAACATGTTGAGGGTTTTCAGCATGTTGGTGTGTGTCCAGAGATGCATGGCATCTTAGTCCCTTCTACTTTTTCAAGACTTTGAGCTTTAGTTTTGTCGTTCATGCCTGTATATACTTACATTCTAGACATGGGTCTTAAGCAGCTTGTGCTTGCCAGCAGAGAAGCACTTGGCCTTGGGTACGGAGTGATTTGCAAGTGTTTTTCAACATCGATGAGTAGATTCATTTTAGGGTGTGTCCAAAAAGTTAAAATGTCATGGCTTAATAGGGTATGATTTTGAGAGTGTTCTCATTTAAAATTTGATTTTTATTTTGTCTGTGACCATTTAGAAATTACATATTGCTTCTCAGGCATTGCTTTTACTTACTTGTCTGGCCAGGTTTGTGGTCACAACGAGCTCCTTAACTTTTAGGTTCTCTCAGCACACAGTGTGATAGTTACGGCAGATGCAGCTGCAAGCCAGGAGTGATGGGTGACAAGTGTGACCGTTGCCAGCCTGGGTTCCATTCGCTTACTGAGGCAGGGTGCAGGTAAAATGTCTTCAAAACCAAAGAAGGGGGCAGAATCTATATATAGTCAATTTATAATAGTAGATCTTGTGGCTTATTGGCAGCAGCATGAACATTTTTCCCATAATAATTGTCAAGAAGATTTGAGATAGGCTGTAATGACGAGCCACTAGGGGTTTGTTTTGTACAGAGGGTAATCAAACTTTTTAATATCTAAATATTATGGTTATCATAGACTGAAACCAAGTTCTAATATGAAAATGAATTAGGATTCATTTCGTTCTATATGTGTTTCTTTTTTTAAAAATCTGTTAACATGTAAAATAAAAGGTTAACTTTGAGTGGGATTTCTTTTCTCCCTTCTCTTCTCTTATTGTTTTATTCCATTTTCCATCAAATAGGCCATGCTCTTGTAATCCTTCTGGCAGCATAGACGAATGCAATGTTGAAACAGGAAGATGTGTCTGCAAAGACAATGTCGAAGGCTTCAATTGTGAGAGGTAGCTCATGCTTCTGTAGCTGTATTGTGTTTTCTCTGCTATTAGATTTCAAGCAAAAAAGATATAACTGATCGTGTCAATCTTTTTCAGATGCAAACCTGGATTTTTTAATCTAGAATCATCTAATCCTAAGGGTTGCACACCCTGCTTCTGCTTTGGACATTCTTCTGTCTGTACAAATGCTGGTGGCTACAGTGTTTATTCTATATCCTCTGCCTTTCAAATTGGTAATTTAGACATTTCCCCCAAACCCCCTAGGATTGTGAGACTAACAATATTTTTTTTAAAAATCAGTAACTCTTTGAGGGTTTTTTGATGGTGGCAACACTTCATGTTATTTAATGTGCATGATTTTTCTTGTTGGCGTTTTAATTTAATGAAAACATACATATGGGTTAGTAATTTACTGTAGTGAGTACAAATGTTACACAAGGATACTTCAAAAAGTTCATGAAAAAAATAGAATTGAAAGATAATACAAATCTTTCCACAAACTTTTTGAATTACCCTCGTATAAATATTAATAAATCAAAATATAGCTTGACGGGCTGGCCCGGTGGCGCACTGGAGAGTGCACCGCTTGGGAGCGCGGCAGCGCTCCCGTCGAGGGTTCAGATCCCATGTGGAGACTGGTTCCCGCTCACTGGCTGAGCGCGGTGCAGGTGCAACTCCGAGGGTTGCGATCCCGTTGCCGGTCCCCAGTATGGGCGTGACACCAAGGGTTGTGATCCCGTTACCAGTCAGTAAAAAGAAG